TTTTCCGATTCTGACTTTGACGTCCTCGTCCGTCCCGCCTGTAGTTGAAACAGTGCTTCCTAGATAAGTGAAGGAGGTTACTTCCTTCAAGTTTCTCCCGTTGACGGTGATTGGAGTTTGTTGTTGTTGTTGATGGTGGTGGTGCGGTATCTTCATCACTTCTGTCTTCTCTATATTCACCTGAAGTCCCGTCTTAGCTGCCTCTTCTGTCAACTTGTTAGTTTTTGCCTGCAGATCTTCAAGTTTATGTGACATTAGGCATAAGTCATCGGCGAAATCCAAGTCTTCTAGGTTCTTTTCCGTCGTCCAGTGTATCCCCCTCTTCTCGCTGCCTACTGTTTGCTGCATGATCCAGTCCACCACAATAAGGAATATCATGGGGGATAGTAGGCAACCTTGTTTCACTCCTGTCTTCACTTCAAAGGCATCACTGAGCTTCCCATTGTGGATTACTTGGCATGTGGCATCTTCATATAGTTGTTGAATGAGGCGGATAAAGGTTTGCGGTACTCCGTAGTATTGAAGCAGTTTCCAAATTACTTCTCGGTCGACGCTGTCAAAGGCCTTCTCAAAGTCGATGAAGTTGAGGTAGAGAGCTGATTGCCATTCTATGCTCTGTTCTATGATGATACGAAGCGTTGCAATTTGGTCAGCACATGATTTGTACTTCCTGAAGCCTGCCTGTTCCGGTCGCAGTTTTGAATCCAGTGCGTCTTTAAGCCTCTCCAGGATGATGCGGCTTAATATTTTACTTGGGGTGGATAGGAGAGTGATTCCGCGCCAGTTCTTGCAAGCACTGAGGTCTCCCTTCTTCGGCAGTTTGACAAGGTAACCCTTCTTCCAATCGTCAGGTACCTTCTCTTCCTTCCACACCTTCTGCAATAGTGGTGTGAGCATGTCCGCTGTTGTCTCTGCATCTGTTCTCAGTGCTTCTGGCGGTATTCCATCTGGTCCTGCTGCTTTCCCGCATTTCAGTAGCTTTATGGCGTTCAGGACTTCCATTTTCGTTGGGGGATTTATGTTCACTTGTAATTCAGCGGCTGCAGGTGGTATTTCTGGACGAAGTGCAGGTGGTGGTCGATTCAAGAGCTTCTTGAAGTGGTCGGCCCATCGTTTCCTCTGTTTCTCTTCTTTTGTAATTAAATTTCCTTCTTCATCTTTTATTGGTTTCATCTGTGTTGGTCTCTTCCCTGATAGCAACCTGGTTATTTGATACAATGTCGTCAGGTCTCTCTTACCTGCAGCCTGTTCTGCTTCACTTGCCAGTGTTTCGTAGAAGTGTCTTTTGTCTTTGCGTGCACTCTTCTTCACTTCTTTATCCAGTGTTTTATACATTGTGCTCAGTTCCTCTTGTCGTTGAGCATCCTTGCACTGGTTTATCTTCTGCTTCACCATCCTCCTCTCCTCTATCAGCTTCCAGGTATCCGTCGAGATCCATTCCTTGTCTTCTTTCTTCTTCCTTCCTAATACTGTTGTGCAGGTTTCTTTCCACATAGCTTTCAAAGACTTCCAGTGTTCTTCCACACAGGTTTCTTCAGGGATGTTCCTCGATATCTCCCATTTTGTCTTGATGGCTGCTTTGAAGATCTCCTTTGTAGTTTCATCCTTCAGTTTCCGAGTGTTGTACTTGAATTGAGGTCTATCACCAGCTTCTTTGAAGGCTTTTAACTTGATTTGGAAGGTTCCTTGCACTAGATAGTGGTCTGAACCTACATCTGCTCCTCTTCTTGACCTTGTGTTAAGTAGACTGCGTCTCCATTTTCTTGAGATTGAGATAAAGTCGATTTGATTTTTAGTGTGTCCATCTGGTGAAGTCCATGTCGCTTTGTGGATATCCTTGTGCCTGAACACACTGCCTCCAATCACCAAATCGTTGAATGCACAGAATTCTGCAAACAATTCTCCATTCTCATTCATTTCACCTAGCGCCTCTCGACCCATGGTTAGTTCTCTTCCCGTGTTGTCCCCTCCCAGTTTGGCATTCATGTCGCCCATTAGAATTTTGATATCGCCAACTGACGTCTTGTCCAGTGTTGATTGAAGTTGTCTGTAGAATTCCTCCTTCTTCTCTTGCTCTGCATTATTTGTAGGTGCATAACATTGTATGATTGTGACCTTTCTTCCTTTTGAGTTGAATCTTGCTGTCATGATCCTGGAGGAGATTGGTTCCCACTGCATGAGAGCCTTCGATGCTCTTGAGGACATCATGATAGCCACTCCATAACTCAGTGTGCTCGTGGTTGGCGTCTGGGTGACCGGAGTAGATTATTGATTCTCCAGTTGACAGTTTGGAGAGTCCACTCCCATTCCATCTGCTTTCGCAAATCCCAAGCACTTCGATGTGATACCTTCTCATCTCCTTTGCAATCTGGGCTGCCTTACTGGGTTCAAACATCGTGCGGACATTCCATGTCCCCACGTTTACTTTCGCTTTCATCGAGAGAAGACACATCGGCCAATTGGCTTCCCGAAGGCTTTCACCAACTGGCGTCATTTCGCCTCTCCGATTCCAGCGGGGAATAAGTTTGTTTTCATTTTTTATATTTTGTTTGTGCTTTGAAGTTTGTTTAGCGGTTAGATTTGTTTTACGGGGTAGGGTTGCTAGCCCTATGCCCAACCTTCCCTCTTTACCCGGGCTTAGGACCGGCTAGTAACTAGTAAACTAGTTAACCAGGCGAGGTTGTGATGAAATATAGTGTCTTTTAATAACCAGTTGGTGTTCATGTAGACGAAGACGAAGACGGTGACCACTTTGTTCAATGTAGTGTTGATTACAAATAATCATTGGAGTTGATTTTGTAAATGACATTTGGTTTTTTTTTCTTTGGCTTTTGTCTCCTTTGGTATAATGTGGTTTGGAGGGAATTTATTGGTTTATAAGCTACACAAGTTCCAAGTGGTCTCAGTAGTCTTGTCTTGGCTTCTGATATGTTCTTTATGTACAGTAGGATGATCCGTTTGTTGATTTCTGTTGATGACTTTTTAGTTGATGATGTACGGGATAAGCATAAGTTTCGCGGGTAACCGTCGTCTTCCCGGTAAGTTGTTGTACTGCAGCATGTTCTCACTCTTTGGAATATAGTCTACAAGCAACTGATTTCGTGCGTTGTTGGGTTGTTGCTGCTCCAGCTAAGGATTCGATTAGTGTGCACTGACTATCTGTACACTTCAGTTTCCAATTTTTCGCAATGGTTCTATTGACCAAAGCATCCAGGAATGACAGTGGGTTGTTCGGCTCCTCTATTGTGAATGTGATGCTATTGAAAACGTTGTTGATCGAACTGCAAGCGTTTTCTATTTCATCACTTTAATGATGACAAAAGTATCACCCACAAAGAGAATCTAAATTATCGGTTTGATGGGAGGTAAAATGATCGTTTCCTAACAGTATTTCTTGGGAGGTTATTAATTCTTGACCAAGTGTATCACCACTTCATATCTTTCTTATCCAAGATTCCTTTTCCTGCTTAAAAATACCCAACTTAGAAGGTTGGTGAGTTTCCCATTCTAAGTGGATTTTCTGTATATAGAGCTCTGAATGGAATTAGCAAACCTTCTCTAGATTTTGACGATGAGGAAGTGAAACGCTGAGTTTAATTCACCTTCTAGCGAATGTTTTATTGAAGAGTGGCTGTCGTTAAAATTCTGCAGGAAGTGTATGAGGTTCAGGTTGTCTTCATAAACGATGAAAGTATCCTTCACTTACCTTTTGTATACATAAGTTTGCCGATTGTTGGATTCATGTGGTATTCTCAAGTCCAGACATGAAACAGTCATCAAGTAGGAGTTCAGGAGACAATCCTACAGGTGCACTATCGATTCATCCTTAGATTTCTTTATTAACTCTGAAGTGAACGTTAAGCGAGCATCTTAGGAGAAGTTCTTTCGGGTAGTGATTTAGTAGGCCAACATCTAGATTTCTAGATTGCATAAAGTTGCATAAGAAACGGACTGCCTCTGTTAACGATACGTTCCTGAATAGTAGCATGATGTCTAGTGAAATTACTCTTCTTCTAGACAGAATAATATCCTTGACTGACCCAGTGAAATCGAATTTGTCAGAAACAGTGTGTTTCAAGAGTTGTTTCATTTCAGGTCTAAAGGTTTCCATGAGCCATTTTGTAATTGTGTGATATGGAGAGTTTGTCATGTTCAGTGGTGGATACAGAGGGATACCATCTTTATGAGTTGTTTGTAGAGATCATTCCTAATGACTGATTCGTCTTTCGTTTTCTTCAGCAGTTTATAGAGTGGCTCTACTGTCTGTTTGATTGGGTATTTCTGATTCATTGGATTGGAGAATGGATTTTCATCTGGCAAAATGGGTGGAATCTTGTCAACGTAGTGACACTCACTCAGTAACATTATCCCAGCACATTTGTCTGAGCGCATCATGATAAGATTTTCATTTTTTTCGAATTTCTTTTAATTGATTAATATGATCCTTTGATAAAGCACGTCGGCTGTTGGGTTTACTGTTGATGTACTGGAGACAGAAGTTTAGAACGGTTGATTCTAAGTTATCAAGACCATTATTAAATGCTGGAATTAGATTTTTGACTAAACTTTAGTATCAAGTACGTTAACTTCCAAATTGAAACCATAGTTGTGACAATCAGAACTCGAACGCAACGTATCACAGATATCCTGAGCTCTATTTAAATCATTGACTGACGAAAGAAATGAATTAGAGGTTTTCATTACTAGCATCCATCCAGCTTCAGGCTCTATCCCTTGACTCCAAGTTCTGGTGTGATAATTTTCTTCCCCATTTTCCTGTGTCTCGTACTGATGCCTCCTACCTATTTTACTTCTATGAGGTAGGAATTTGGAACATTATGCAGTAACGTCACGTTCCATATCAATGCTCAGTGACCGATACTGCATGAACAGTACTAGTTAGTTTCAAACAGGGTAGATCGCGTTCGCAATGTGCATAGATAGACTGTCATGACGAAAAACACAAAGCTAAAAGCGTAAATATTTATTTTGCTTTTTAGATGTCAAATCAGTTCACAATCTCCAAGATTCTTCATATTTCTACTGGACAAGCATTAAAAGCTGTGTTTAATACTTCAAACGAAGTAAGTCAAGCATAATATTGTATATTTCATCATTTATTTTCAGGATACTAATCGACAAACAAACCTTACCTCTTCTACATCTGTTTCAACTGAAAATCAACAATCTACACATCCTTATATAGGTGAGATGACATTGAATAACTCTGACTTATTGATGATGAACCGATTTCAGCATAGTATTCCATCGACAACAAACAGTAATAACAATGAGCATAAAGATTATGAAACGAAATTAGGTCTACATTCTAATGCATTTAGCTTCTATACAACATATATGCAAAATTCACTTTCATCTAATATAAACGCATACAGTGGAACAAACAATCAAGTTGAATTGCATTTAAACAAAATTAATAACTTTGATAATCTATACACTGCTAGACAACTTCAAGAGAAGGAGCAACATAAACCAGAAATTAGTCTAGATGAAACTAATAACAATTACTGTTTAATTGATCAACCTTTCAATAATAATAGTCAAGAGATTCGACAGAAATTTCTAAATTTATTCAATGAGATTGTAACTAAGCAAAATATAATGAATAGTGGTAAAAGTCTACAGTTAATACAAACTGAAAAAACTGCCAAAATTGACAATGATGAAAATAATCTATTGTTGGGACACAGTAATTGCAATGAAAACGTTTCATTTACTTCTTGTCAAGGTAAGTAAGCTGAGGAATATTAAATATAGATGTAAGCAACTGGTAAAAATGCTTACCATATATACTTCAGCTTATACTGTGTGTACTTAACCTAGTATACTTCCATTCAGTATGAAGATAAAATGAAAATCGTCGAATAATGAACAAGGGGAGTAAAATATTTGAATCTCATCTCACAGTGTTCATATCCTCGTAGCAGCATTGGAAATACAATGATATATACTGTTATCTATTAGGTTTGTGGAGAAATTAAAAGGTAAAGGTCACAATACTAGAGTTCAGCAAAGATAATCACCATTGCTCTTGAAGGATATCCATAGCTTCATTCATCTTTTAATGCTAAATTGGATATTGTTCATTTGTTCATGTTTTGAATCAATAACCATGGTATGCGTTACACATTGAACAATTCAAACAAATGAAAGCTCAACCAAAAGTAATTGAAGCTAATGATAGTTACTGTAGTTATTTTCTCAATAGGGAAAACAGATTTAGAATAGATTTGCAATCAGAGTATTTTATATAAAGTGAATTCAAACCCTCTAACTAAAATTAGTTATTTCAGGCAGGAGAACTAGTGAACTATAATTGTTAGTAGACTTTTACTCTCTTTGTAACTACCAGTTGTTGATAAGTTTTTGTATAGCCTGTAGATCGGGACGTTGTTGCAGGGGGGGGGGGGGCGGCGCAGAGCAGTGTGAGATTGGTGGTGGCCACGAGAATCTGGAAAAGAAAAAAACGAAGAGAAGAGAGGTGAGCCGATGACTCAGCAAGTACACAGGATGTACTTACATTTAATAATAAAAGTTAACTGACAAACTGTAGAACTGGACAACGAAGAGGTGAGGTGAAACTCTAAGGTGAATGAGTAAGATTTCTAATGTGCTACATCTTATATCACGCATTTGTTTTTATTCTGAGGAAAGTTATTAGTTGTATAATCTGAACTTGCCTTACTGAATACTAGGACTTAATGTACTTAAGCTGTTTCTTTAATATTGTCATCTGAGACAGGATCATGCATACCGTAATTGAAAAATTTAGAAAGCTTGAGGGATATTCACTTCAAGTTGAAGTTGTGACTATCTGAGTTGACTTTTTCGTTGTTACAGCTTGTAGTTCAATCCTTTGCATTTTTAAACATAATAATTATATTATGATAGTTGTGATCCCTGCATATATGCTTCAGCATTTTCTCACTGCGGATGGACTGAAGATTTCATTACTGATTGACCTTCATCATTTTATGTATACAGGATCTAATTCCCTCTATTGAAAAGTTGGGTAAACCTTGGCAATTATTTTTCGTTGTCAAATTGAAAAGAAGCATTAGAGGAGGATAATATAGATCCGTTTTACTGTCTACTCTATCCTCATCAGCTGCATACAGTCCAGATTGTTCCAAATACTTAATTACAATAAAACAATAACATACATTGGTCCACCGAGATAAGTTAGAACAATACAGTGAAGTGACAAGACTATGCGAATCGTAATGAAGTCAGAATGTCATTTGATAATGTCAAGAACATAATCTCGTTGTTGGGACGACAGTTCTCGTGAAAATTGAATGAGGATAAGAAGAGAAATATTGCAAATTCTCAGAAAAGGAAACCACAAAAGTAGACGTGTGGGACAATTCATGACTACTAGGCAGCATCATTTCAAATACAGGCAGCAAAGGCACAGATGAGGATGTTAAAGCGAAGATCGGAAAGACAACAAAACTGGCTTTCACTAGTCAGAGATCAGTGTGAAGATGTACTGCATTCAGCATGAAGCGTGAACAAGATCCGGATTTTCAACATCAACCTCAGTCAAATCAGTGCATCTGTATGATTCAGAAAATTGGCGTGTCATGAAAAGCATTTCCAACAAACTACAACGATTTATCATCAGAAGATGGCGTTCATGTTCGCTCGATAATGAAGATCAGATGGCCAGAATAATAAGAATAAGCAACAAGGAACTCTGGTGTGGTAACAAAGCAACTGAGAACTCATAGCCCAACAAAATATGCAGACGAAAGTGGAGATGTATTGGATTGGGCTCACACTGAGAAGACCATTCGGCGACATCACCTGCCAGGACAGGATCTCGAGTGGAATACAAATGGGAAGCGACGAATCGGGCGTCTGAGGTGAGGGTAACATGGAGGAGATGATGTGAGGAAGAAATGAGAGGTTGTGGGTAGTCTTGGAGTCATGTTCAAAAGACTGCAGAGAAGAGAGTGAAGTGGGGGCGTGCTACTGAAGCTCTATGTTTCACTAGGAACCCAAGGGAAAAATAATATAATAATAAAGAGAAAAAAAGTATAATATAATGCATGATACTCAGCAGTTTAGGTTTGCAGTTTAGTGCGAACTCAAAAATGAATGACAAGATAAGAATGTTAGAAAGCAGGTCAACGGTTAAGAAAATCTAATTCTAATCTGAGAAGTTTCACTCAATATATTCTATATTAATTTGCCTACATCATACTGGAATTTCCTCATGACATTTAAATAATTCCGATCTAGTAGCTCAGTGGTAGTCAACGCACCCACCATGAAATCTGATGATCTTAACTTGCATTACTAACAGAAGCGTGAGTGAGCGCTGTCGATGAGGACTAAACTGTTTTCCAGTGCTTCCAGGTTTTCGCTGGTCAGCGCTCCATGAAATCCCCCTTGGAATATTTCATTTTGTTTTCAGATTATTTTAAACGTTTCCACTCATTCATTTATGTGGACTTTTTCCTGAAACTCTATAACATTTCTCTTCCTATCTTAGAAGTAGTATTCATCATGGACTGACATCAACTGGGGAACCATTGGAAATTCAGGAGCACTGGGCAGCTGTTTCATCCTAATACGGGACTCCTCAGCAGCACGCATCCACGATCCGGCTAGGGATAGAACTCAGGACCTTCAAGTTTCACGGCGAAAGCGTTAACCGTTCAGCCACTAGGTCGGTTTCCAGTGGTTTACAATTTCCAACTTCTGTCAGTTCACGATATGGCACGACCATCACCCAAGGTCTTCAGTTAACCTCCACTTCACATCCGATTGGTTGACCCCACAGATCACGGCTTCGCATTAGAGCTTGGGGATATCGCTCTGAAAGCAAGTCACTAATGGGCACTTTACAGTAATGTCCAGTGCTCCCAGATTTTCAATGGTTCCCCAACTGATGTCAGTCCATGATGAATACTACTTCTAAATTAAAAATCCCCATTCACCTCAAAAATACATCTCTTCCTATCCTCATTCAAGTTTCCTGAGAACTCTTGTCTCAATAACGAAATTATATTCCTGACATTATCAAATGTCATTCCGAATTTATTACGATTCGCATAGTCTCGTTACTTCATCACACCACTGTGCTGTTTTAACTGATTTCAGTGGACCGATGGGTGTTATTATTTTATTGTAACTGAGTATTCGGAATACTCTGAGTTGTATGCAGCTGATGAAGACAGGCGAAATAATAAAACCTATCCATATTATTCTCCTTTAATGTTTGTGCTTAAACTTTACTCACGTGGTTCATTCACTGAATGACATCTTGCGTGGTTTTCCTTGATCAAGTCGATTGTTAATGTATGTTAGGTGAAATCTTTCAAAATGGCAATTAGAAATAGTGGTTAGTATAAGAATAGGGGAAAGGAATAAATATGAATCCATTCTGATTGAACATTGCCATTCACAAATGACTTTAAAGGTCACTCTAAGAACTGTGGAGATAACCAATTACAGTTCTCTATTTTATGAAGAAGTTAACTTCCCAGTTGAAATATAGAAAGCTGATTGGTTATTCCAGCTGTTGCTGACATAACCTCTTAGGCCACTCGATATCTGCGTATGTCACTACGCCTGCATAGTTATATCATTTGCTAGCAACAGCGCATCAAAACATTCTGGATGAAGGTAGGTGGTTTTTCCCACTTTCTAAATTAGGATATTCCAGTAGTGGAGGTGACCAACTACTTAGTACTGTTACTACAGAATAATTGGTAGAGCATTCCAGTTGTTTTGCATGCTACTGACATCAGTGTAACAAATACCTTTTAAAACAGCATGAACGAAACCTAGAATAGAATAATTTATCGATCCATTTTCATTAGTTCGGAAGTTCCCATCAGCTGCTCAGAACCTACAATATTTACAAAGACAAGCTACAGTTAAATATTAACGTACTCCAGCATACTGAAATAAGTAAAACGGGACAACGACATAACGAAGTTAGGAAACTGTCAGAATTAAAATAAAGTCGTGTAGTGATGTTAGGGTAATATTTATTCATCATAGACTATCAGTTGGAGAACCGTGATGAACGCTACCTCAAAAATAAAATCCCCAAAAAACCTCAGACTACATTACTTTATGGTGCTTGTTGACAAATTGCTTCCAGATAGATATCATGAAGTCTTAATGAGAAGCGATGACCTGTAGAGTGGACCACTTGTAAGGGAAGTGAATACCAACTGAAGACCTTAGGTGATAGTCACACTTTATCACGAACTGAAAGAAGTAGGAAACTGTGAGCCATTAAATTTTAATCTAGTTACTGAATAGTTGACGTATTCGCTATGAAACCTGAGAGTTCTGAGTTCGATCCTAAGCGGCTTCTGTCGTGTATGAGTACATCTAACGATTACTACACTAAACCAAAACAGCTGTCCAGTGCTCCGAAGTTTTTAACTATTCTCCAACTGATTTCATTCTGTAATGAATACCTTAAAGTGAAAATTCACCATTAACTCTAAAAAACATAAATATATGTATCTTATTAGGAAGAAAGTTATCGTAAAAATTAGGCCAGGATAGATAAAAGAACAAGAAATTACGTAAGTGCAAGAATAGACAAGTTGACAGTAATCAAAAAACAAAATCCAACTGACGTTTATCTGCCGGAACACTTACACTGAGAGCACAGAAAAAACAGTTTACCTTTGATGTTTTGAACATATCTCGAACAATCAACGACTGAGAGCAGCAAGTATCCTCAATAGTGTAATTACTAAGCACTTAGTGAACACAGGATATGAAGCAGAGTAATTATTAAAGCGAATAATTCAAATTTTATTCACTTCCTTTAACGTATTACAATCAGATTTTCAAGTGTCCTAGCAATCTAATTTCTTAATCTTCCACTGCCATTAGATTTTCAGTCAACTCTAAACCCCAGTTCTAATCAGTTGAGCTTAACTAATAATTTTCTATTACATTTCGTCTTTTGGTTTCTGCTAACGTATCTGCTCGTTGACTAAAATATTTTATTAGTCAATCTGGAGGTTTATGGAGATTCATTAATTGATTTTAGGTTGGAATTCATCATGTACTGACATCACCTGAGGGAATATTCGGATTTAGCGAGCACTGGAAAGCTGTTTTGTCATAGTATTGGATTCCTTAACAGTGCGCAACTATGACTTCACTGCATCAGGGATCGAACCTAGGACCTTCAAGTTCTGCGGCCGCAGGGTCATCGGTGCTCACAGCTAAGGAGTCATATACCAGGATAAACAGCTATTCAGTGCTCCTTGGTTACCAGGTTACCAAGATCTTTTAGTCAAACAAGATACATATATTTATGACATTACTAAATAACTTAATAATTTCCTTACTTCTGGTTGGCGTTGTCCCATTTAGAGTGATCTCAGTAGGCGAAAGTATGCTAACATTCGATTGTAATTTGCTGCTGTAAATACTGTAGTTTCTGAGCAGCTGATGAGGGCCTTTAAATAACAAAGTGGGTCCGTATTCTGCTCGGAGGTTTGTCCTCGTTCCTTTAAAGTTGATAAAGAGAAATGCGTGCATAAATTAACATTTATGATTAGCTTTATCAGCAGGTTACAGTAGCAAATCCTGTTAATAAAATACATTTATTACTATAATTATTTGGCCTTTGGGTTCCTAGTGAAACATAGAGCTTCAGTAGCACGCCCCCACTTCACTCTCTTCTCTGCAGTCTTTTGAACATGACTCCAAGACTACCCACAACCTCTCATTTCTTCCTCACATCATCTCCTCCATGTTACCCTCACCTCAGACGCCCGATTCGTCGCTTCCCATTTGTATTCCACTCGAGATCCTGTCCTGGCAGGTGATGTCGCCGAATGGTCTTCTCAGTGTGAGCCCAATCCAATCCATCTCCACTTTCGTCTGCATATTTTGTTGGGCTATGAGTTCTCAGTTGCTTTGTTACCACACCAGAGTTCCTTGTTGCTTATTCTTATTATTCTGGCCATCTGATCTTCAGTATCGAGTGAACACAGGAGTCAGCTGTTGATGAATCGTTGTAGTTTGTTGGAAATGCTTTTCATGACACGCCAATTTTCTGAACCATATAGAAGCACTGACTTACTTGACGCTGGTGTTAAAAATACAGGTTTTGTTCTTTATGCTGAGTGGGGTGGAGCGGAGTTCAGAGCAGTGCAGTAGATCTCCACACTGATTTCAGATCAATGAAAGACAGTCTTGTTGTCTTTCCGATCTTCGCTTTGACATCCTCATCTGTGCCTTTGCTGCCTGTAGTTGGAATGATGCTGCGTATGCAGGTAGGCTAAAGAGACAACTTCCTTTAGGTTTTTCCCGTTAATGGTGATCGATGTTTGCTGTTTGTTGGGTATCTTCACCACCTCTGTCTTCTCTACGTTCACTTGAATGACCGTCTTCGATGCTTTCTCTGTCAACTTTTTAGTTTTTGTCTGTAGATCTTCGAGTTTGTACGACATTAGACATGAGTCATCATCGGCGAAACTCAAATATCTACGGTCTCTTCATCGGTCCAGCCTGCGTATGGCCATCTTCTCGCTCCTCATGGTTCGCTACATGATCCAGTCCACCACAATCAGGAAGGTCACAGGTGATAGTAGGGTACCTTGTCTTACTTCTTCCTGTGTTCACTTCAAAGATGTTACTGAGCTGTCTGTTGTCAAGCACTTGGCATGTAGCCTCATCATCATCACATAGCTCTTGAATGAAGTTGCTAAAGGTTTGTAGCACTAAGACCGTAGTCTTGAAGCAGCTGCCAAATTACTTGCGGGTGACGGTGTCGAATGCCTTTTCAAAGTCGATGAAGTTGGGATTGAAAGTTGAATGCCATTCCATGCTCTGTTTTATAGTGATGTGCAGCGTAGCTTTGCAATTTGACCCGCACACGACTTGTACTTCCTGAGACCACCCACCGTCTTCCAGTAGTAATTTTGAATTCAGAGCATCTTTTAGTCTCTCCAGGATGGTGCGGCATAATATTTTGCTTGGGGTGGACAACAGCATGATTCCTCACCAGTTCTTGTAAAGCCTTAGGTCTCCCTTCTTTGGGTATCCCAGGAATAGAAATATGATGCATTTATGAGCATTCAAAAGTCTATTTCTGTCTAGCATAGCATTTTTTCTTCCTTTTGTTATCAATCCAAAAAATGGCTATTTGAGAACACTTTGAAAATCCGCAAGAGTAAGTAATACGTTTGAAGGACATATTTGAAAGATTAAAACAAACTGAAAAGGAAGAAATTGGTGTAATTTATGCAGTGGAAAAATTTTTGGTAGTCCAAGTTTTAAGCGGGCTACATTTAAAACCTCTAGATTTGATTTTAGAACAGTTTTAGCCTTAGTTTTAGCAATTCGTTTTAAGCAAAAATAGAATGGACATTATAACGCTTCCATGACATACGAATTCGAATAAGAACTCTGTCAACAGTTGAAAAAACTTATCAGTTGTGTGCTCTTTTTAATTGATACAATAAATAAAATCAATATTGGTTGGACTCCGTCACAGTAATTGATGCTTAGAATTCAATTAGTACCAATTATGCACAAGTAAATACGTTCAGCAAATTCTACAAAGAACGTCAGAAAACAGTTTAACATTTTAAAAGCTGCTTAATCTATTGCTGTTCATTATTTAAAGGTATGATAAATATAGCAACAAGAAAACGTGGATAAGAGTGAAATTTAAGTGGACAGTGACCTACCAATCATTCACAGAATACATACAATCAGAATTATCACAATTGAGACTCGGCCATCAGTTAGGTTTTGCAGTTCAGTCAGTGGTTTCAATCTACGGATTGTTGCTTTTAACTCCTAAGCGACTGAAAAGAAAAATAAACAGGTCAAAAGTCACAGTTCCGCATTTTTGTTAATGTTTTGTTTTTCAAAATGTTTTAGGAAACTAGTAGCCCATCTACTCTGTTTCTCCTGTAGCCAAGTGGGTAACTTTCTGGCGTTTGAAGTGATTGATACTGAGTTCGAGTCTCAGTGGGGGTAACATCAATCACTGGCGTGTGGGTACACTCAAGAGACGAGTTGCTGGCAGGACGAAAGTCCTGTATATCTGCATAGTTTAGTTGGATACCGGATGGAGAGGAGAAAATATTATCTCTATGAGAAGATGACACTATCGTAGCGTGATGATTACCGATAAAACAGAATAATTGGACACAAAGTGATGATTCACTGAGATCATAAAAATACTTTATCGGTATTGTAAAGAGAGATGGAAAGATTGGAAAGCTGATAAAGCTGGGAATATATTGGTAATAGTGGGAATAAAGTAACATGATAAAATTTTGACTTCGAACCCAAGTTAAGGATGGGAAAGTATGTAGAACGCTAGTTATTTAACATTTGTTTCATTTCAGTAGTAAAAATGATTTCTTCATTTCATGAGGCTAGATGAAACTTACGAGGAACATTATACGCCACTGTAATGAAATATACACCTGAGAAATATGATTAGATCAGAGTGATTCAAGCATTTCACCCGCTTGAGGCCAAGCTCATCAGTTGTGTGCCCAGATAAATTCAGCTCATGGAATTGAATTGTTGAGATCAACTTAATCTGAATAACTGACTGGATAAAACAGTATACCTTAAGTTGATCATTCTATTACATACTTTTGTTTTAGAAGACTCTACTCCATCTGTTGTCAGCCCATCAGTATCAAATGTAACAAACCCCTCATCCTTACATATTATTCAAACTATAAATAATAACAAACTAAAACTGGAAGACAAATTATTGCCTTTGTTACACAAAGTATTTAAACTCAATTCAAACCAAACAATCACTTTTGAAGACAGTCAACATGCCACAGTTAATAAGAACTTAAACTCGAATCTTCTACTAAATTTAAAACTCCCAGTCAACTGTATGAATATGAGTGATGTAATAAAGTCGAATGAAAAAGTATCACAGATATTGTGTTTAAAATCTGATACGAATGAAAGAACAACGCCTTACACAGGAAAACAGCTACCAAAGAGGAAAACACGTAAAACTCATCAATCTAAACTGAAACAAAATCATGAGTTGGAACGTAAGCCTAGACAAGCTTACTCAACAGTTCAACTTGAACGTTTAGAAACAGAATTTGAAGTATGTAAACGTTTATTTATTTATTTCTTGAAGAAATGTTTTAAAGATGATAATTTGTTAATTTCAATGTGATTTTTTAAATCTAACACATTATATGGGTCAAATGAAACCACAGATGTAGTACTGTTGAATTAATTTCAGAGTTTATCATAGTCATGCAACACACACACACACACACAGAGAAGTTATGTGGTAATAAAGTGAGTTAACATAGTAGTAAAAGTAAGTCATGATGATTAGTAGCTTGTTCCAAAGATCCCTCTGAATCCAGTAAAAACAGCCTCAAATCATTCCAAGGTAATGCTTTGCTCCTTGTTAAAATCATCTTATTATGCGCTCTATGAATAATTCTCACAAGTCATAGCTTCTCCGGTTCGTCTGAAATGTTTTCGAAGTCAATGAAATTGATTTCATATTTGCATGTGGTAAATTGTAAATGTGTGGTTTACCGAGACTACTTTTATACGACTCAGCGGCATAGGAAATTACTACGTGTTAATGTTATTAACTGAAATCCATTAGAATATCTCAGGAAATAAAATATAGGACGACATTTAAACCCCCAAACTTGTAGGCTAAAAGATCTAGTAGAGTCAATTAAAAAAATAACCTAATTTATTATGTACCATATAATCATAATGAGGTACCTGCAGATTAGAAGAAGGGCTACCTTGTCAAACTCCCGAAGAGGAGCAATCTAAGTCTTTGCAAGGACTGGCGCTGAATCATGCTTCTGTCCACCCCAAGCAAGCAAAATATTGAGCCGTATCATCCTGGAGAGACTGAAGGATGCGCTGGATTCAAAACTACGACCAGAACAGGCTGGCTGGATTCAGGAAGAACAAATCATGCGCGCATCAAATTGCAACTCAACGCTACGCATCATCATAAAACAGATTATACAACGGCAGTCAACTCTACACCTCAACTTCATCCATTTCCAAAAGGCAGGCCTGAGACAGCGTCGACCGACAAGTAATTTGGCAGCTGCTTCAATACTACGGAATACCACAAACCTTTATCAATCTCATTCAACAACAATGTGATGACGCCACATGCCAAGTAATTCAAAATGGAAAGCTCAGTGATGCTTTTGAAGTGAAGTGGAGACAGGAGTAGAATAAGGTTGCCTACTGTCACCCATGATGTTCCTGATTGTTGTGGACTAAATCATGCAACAAACAGTGGGGAGCGAGAAGAGGGGGATACGCTGTGCCACGGAAAAGAACCTAGAAGACTTGGATTTTGCCAACGATGACTTGTGTCTGATGCCACACAAACTTGAAGATGTACAGGCGAAAACTGACAAGTTGTCAGAAGAGGCAGGGTAAGGCAGCGAAGACTGGACATCCTTCAGGTGAACGTAATGAAGACAGAGGTGATGAAGATATCCAACAAACAACAAAAACAGCAGCAACAACAACAACAAGCTGCAATCATCATCAACTGGAGAAACTTAAAGGAAGTAGTCTCCTTCACCTACCTGCCTAGACAGCACTGTCTCAACTACAGGAGGCACAGGTACAGACGAGGACATCAAAGCCAGCCACAATCGTAAAGACAGCAACACAGGTTTTCATTAACCTCAAACCAGTGTGGACATCTGCACTCAGCATACATCGTGAACAAAATCCGGATTTTCAACACCAACCTCAGTCAACTCAATGTTTCTGTATGGCTCAGAGACTTGGCGTATCACGAAAGGCATTTCCAACAAACTACAGACATTCATCAACAACTGCCACCTACGATGACTCGTTACTCAAGATCAGATGGCCAGAATGATAAGAATAAGAAACAAGGAACTCTGGCTGGCTGGCTGACAACGAACCAACCAACAACCTATCACTCAACAAATATACATAGGAAGGAAGTGGAGATGGATTGGGCATACACTGAGAAGGCCGACTGAGGACATCACGAGCCAGACCAGGCCCTAGAGTGGAATCCAGATGGGAAGTGACGAGTTGGGCGTTTGAGGTGGGGGTGACATGGAGTAGATGGTGGGAGGAAGGAATGAGAGGTTGTGGGCAGTGATGGCGACAGGTTGAAAGGATAGCAGAGAACAGAGTGGACTGGAGACGTGCAACAGAAGCCCTATGTTTGACTAGAAACCAAAGGGACAAATAATTATAATAATAATATAATCATTATGAGGTCAAACAAATGGATAAAAGCGGACAATCTAGGTCAGGAAGAGTAGCAGAACACAAAGTCTAGCGAAACATACAATACTAGACCCTAGTATGATAAATAATGCAAAGAAAAACTCGGTTATAGCTCTGAACGCACTGACCCATAATCATACTACACGGTCGGTGGGATAGGATGATAAGGCTAAAATCTTATATAGCTAGGTGAAGGGAGAGACTGATTACAAAATCTTTGTTCATCAAATCAAGAGTTAACACATGTAACATGAATGATTTATCAGGTCAGGTCAGCTAGTCAGTTAGCAATCAGCAGATGTATAGGCACAGACCTAATCTATCAATGATAAACAACACAAAGGTCAGAGGTGAAGCAGAGGAACAGCCAACAGGAAAGTCTATACAATCAATGATACAACAGTCGAAGGAAACAACCAGTCACAGACCACATCGTCAGAGCAAGCTACTAAATCACTCACGGAGAGACACTGACAGCTCACTTCATTCTGAAGCTAGTGCTGATGATGTCGTCTAGCAAGGCGATGAAAGCTTCACAATTAAACAACTCAGCTCAGAGAACACAATACAATCAAGATATAAGTTATCCTAATCACTGCCGATATCCCGCATGTTGTGATATAAACGCAGTTGATTAAAAATATCACAATAAATGAAGAGAATAATTGAGGTTATCCTCAAATTTGCTCGTTTCATACACTGCTTGAACGGAATAATAACCACTAACGTTAGGTACCCAACAAAAGCTCACATGGTAACTTGCCAAATATATGCAGTGATCCTAATTTGTAGGTAATAACATCAACAAAGCATTTTCTTTGTTATAAGGGAATCCATTTTTGGCTTGATCGAATCGGTGCCAACCTGTAATCTTACTCTTCTCCATGTCTTCTCCATTTCGGTGGTTTAGTGCATGATTGCTGTCGTATTGCAACGAATTACCAGTTATTTTTATCATGCCCTTAGAAATGTTTGCAAACATCCAGTATTTATCGTATTATTGCTATCTAACCTACTACAGGTTCATCGGACAAGTCTAAATATTCAGTTCATTTTATTGAAACAGGTTACGAAAAACTACCTTCAGTCTTCGTAGTGTTAACATTTTCCTAAAGAGTTAAATATTTGTATTGAAGCCCAAACGTCGACCACACTGCCAATAATTTATTAAGTGAATCTAAAAACTATTTTAGTAACAAGTGAAATAACCAGTTAGGTCTATCTACTTCGATCGGTAGGGTAGAGTTTCGCTGAATACAGAAGTCTAATTGGTTACTTAATTTGTAACTGAAAATACCTACCAGGATATAAGGGAAAAAGAGAAGTTCAGTGAATATATATTTTTCGGCGATTTCATTTTCAAAAGTTGTACCATCGCAATTTATACATTTGTTCAATTATATAGGACAGTTACAAGAATAAACCTAGTAACAAAAATAAACTTGAATGAAAATTACTGATTCACAGGTGTGGTGCAAGGTGAAAATATAATTCACGGAGTAGAAACCAATGTAATTAACCGGATAGAATATAAAGCTATACAATATGGGGAAAAAGACTTTCAAGGTGTTCAATTATTACTCTTCTGAGCTACCCACTAGCATCTTTTTGCAGTCAGGCGGGTGACGTCCCCTAAACCGTTTGGATAGAATTCACATCAGACGACCTACACACCTGGCTCCACAGCAGCAGGCGAATCGATAAACACACATGGATGTGGTCAGATGCAGCTTGTCAGGAAACATTGAAAGACTGGAGAATAATATTCTCGACATGGACGAAAAGAAAGGCTTCTTAAGAGTGCTTGCAATTCTTCTCTTGAGGATATCTATCAGCAGCGAAGTTACCTTTAAAGTGGTGATTCATGTTTAATATATTCTTTGCAACTGAAATAGAGATCTGTCTTCGTGGTTTCAGTTTCGTTTCCAACCATAAATCCTGCTGGATATACGTTTTCAGCAAGAACCCTTTTGAGAGATATGAGCTCTTCTTCTAGGCTTTTAAGTCTATAAATTCTTCAAATACGGTGGGCAAGGGAAATAACAGGTGTTTCTTTTCAACTAATGGGTACCTAACTTCATTGTTTGTCAGGGTGACCTGTATGATCATGCATTTTGTTTGAGATGAGATTAAATTGCGTACTTAACTTGCTTACTTATCAGTGACTGATACCACGTATTTGTGGTTCATTTTTATCTGCTCATAAAAGATAAGGAGTCACTCTAAAGACCACTGTAATAATTACTGTTCTATTCTTTGTGAAAAAGCTAACTTCTCAGTTGAAATAAAGAAACCTAATTGGTTATTTCAGTCATTGACTGGGTGACCTTTCTAGTTACTCCAAACAAGCAAAACATTTTAGGATTGATCACTATTGTTCAAATACACCTTATGTAGGTATTTCATTTTCACGTGTTTATTATAAGACCGGATTCCACTAGTTGAAAGACAATATTCTTTTCAATAAATTCTGATCAAATTCCATGGTTATAAAATGGAATAGTTCAATGTGAAAACAATCTGAGATCGAGGTACAAACAAAATTAAAATGGAATGTGAATAAAATGACGTCAGCATGCCGGTCTTTCGTTTCACACTTATTGGTATTTGGATGACTTACATCCATACAAATAATATAATGATGAGAGAAATAAATAAATATAGTAAACAAGTAAGATGAGAATACACTCCAGTTCATGGAAAATCAAGAGAGGATTCATGTCTAAACGTGTTCATTTTGAATAAAGGATTTGACTTCAATCGGTTTTGTCGTTACAGCCTCAGCTAGATTGAAGTATTGGTGAGCCAAATATGGTAATGTTAATACAACACGGTATGTTACGACAGTGGAAGCTATATTAGCACCTGTATAACGCGTAGTTATCTTAGACAGAATATATTACTACTCTAATTTCACCTTTCTCAAACTAAGTCGGCAAACATTTACGCATCTGTAAACCTACCTGCCTTACGGTGCACTTAATGTAACTTTTTCCATTGAGGAAATTGACCTTATATGTAGGCAAGATGAGGAGCGTAGATTAAGTAGAGTATCCTTAATTCTCAAACTGAGCATTGACTGACTATTTACAGATATACCAAGCTGACCTGAGCAAAATCTTTCATTTACGTTCAAGGAAATGTAAATGTATAGTTCCATTGAGGAAGAAAAACTTCTGACATTTCGCAACCTCATTGCAGTCATTTCATCAGTGAATAAAACCTATAGCATGGTTAATTAAATAGTAAGCGGCGACAAATCAGATCACGCTGTTCATACATGGTAATAATGATAGTATGGGAAAAATGTCATCGTGATAAGTTATTAGTCGTTGAGTTCAAGGTGATGTGAATATGTGGAGGTGTAGGAAAAATGATAACAATAAGTGAGAATAATTTGACTCGTCGTGGCCAGTGGAGGAACCCAGAACTCACGCTTTGTCCTATTTGGGACTCGTCAGCTGGATGTACCTGCACCCCAGTGAGTGATGTCATTCCCACTGAGGCTTGAACCCAGTACCCATGGTTTCGAACGTCAGAATATTATATACTAAGCCGCTGAGGCATGATTACCACCTTTTATACAACACGTGAATAACCCTTTGGCCATGTATGTAGGTTGTTTGATGTGGATCCAATCAAAACGGGTTAGAGAACACCACCCGCCTGACTGCAAAAGGTTCGAGTGGATTGTTTCGAAGTGCACTAATTGAATACCTTTTTCAACAGCGGTCACAGCACTGCAACTGATTCAATGTTAAAATTCATCTATAATATGAAGAGAAATTTACCTAGGATGATGCGTTTCCGACTTGTGCAACCTTTGCTGTTACCTTGGACTTGTAAACTGCTAATAATACATGAACTTCAATCTCTCCCTTAAGGTTTGTTTATCAAATAAACATAAAGTAATATAGAATTACTGTCTGTCACACTGGCCAAGTTCTGTACTTGTATTAACAAGGTTAATTGGCTATAAGCTAGCCAATTACTGATCTTAATCAACATAAAATATATCACAATGCATTATAGACATTTTTGTTCACTATTTTATTAAGTGTTAAACATGTGACTTATAATTTTTATGAGAGTCTATCGATTTTATAACTTCATTTGTGTAAATAAACTTAATCTTTATAGAGCACTGTGAAATAATTATATTAATATTCACTTGGGTGCTGATTTTATGCAAAAGTGTATAGTAATATCGAATATCACCTAGAAATATACTCGGAAACATGAATAACACGAATGAATACAAAGAAATTGTATGATTGAAATGTGGTTGGTATTTCAGAGGATAGACTTTGTATGCATTTACAAGTGTATACAAAGACTTAGCATATTTCTAAAGAAAAAGTGAATTCAACTTAGTGAAGTTTTTTGTGAATACTTTGGAGTTCAAAGTTCATTCCTGAATAGTATGAACGGTACTCCCTTTATCTGCATGCCTAACTTTTAGTAAACATTTTGAGGATATTTTTATCAATTCTGTTCTACTTTAGTATGGTTCAGAGTTTAGGAAACCTAAAGCTATAGTTCAAGGGGTTTGGGATATCAGTACGTCGAAAATTCCCTAATGTTACCCTTAGTTTATTTAACTATTCTTCATTTATGTTGTTGCTTGTATTATCCTGTCGTTGATATGATCAAATTAATCGATCTCAACTTTGACGAAACGTGCGTCGTGGATTCCACTCCTAGCCACTATCCACAATTGTTATAAAATTGAAACAACAGGCAATATCAAGGTATTTATCTGCTCATACACCAATAGAGACCAATCAATTCGGTCGAAGCAACGACAAAAAACTGAACCCGTCACATAAGAGTTAGCTATCATGACTTAGTGGAGTAGTGAATAACGCTTTGGCGTTTGAACCGATTATTCTATGGTTTGAGCCGTATCGGAGACAACATTACTGACTGGGGTACAGGTATATCCAGCTGAAGAATCTCAAAAAGGACGAGACAGTCATCCTGAATTCCTTCGCTAGCTGTGATCCACGGTTACTATTCTTCACCTATCCCTTGAAAATAAGCTTGCTTGGTCAGTCCCTATCGCATCACTGAAGTCTTTAACTATCAGTCTTTTTATAAAACTTACTGATTTTGATGACATTCAGAACTATCTTGGTTAGAAAAACTTGCTTCCGGTAATCTGAAATAGGAATGATGACTGTATAAAGAACGATCATTCGCCCTTTTATATGCTTACACATGGTTAACGAACCGATGCTCTACCTACTGAGCATCTAGGTCATGTAAGTTAGTGGGTAGAGTACCGAGTTGGTAACTTGGATGACGCTGGTCCGAATCCTGCCACGGAGCAGATTTCCATGTCACCTTCAGTCATCATCCAGTATTATTAACATTTCATTTAGCAAATATAGAAAATACAAAATACCCTGAAGAGTAGACTGTGTTAACAAGACTTTCTTCAAAGGCCATCCTATAAACGATTAAAATAGCCAATTAAGTTTCTTTATTTCAGCTGGAAAGGCATATTTTCATTAAACTAAGAAATATGATTGGTTATTTTAGCTGTTGTTAAAGTAGTCTTTAGTGTTACTCCATAATCAATATGTTATGCATATGGATTTAACAAAAGTTATGTGCAGATGTTCTTTGGTCATTATGGTCAGATTGATTTCTTTACTCAATAACTTCAGTTGACCAGGAAACTGAGGTTTTTATATATATGGATAGTTAAGAAACAATTGAAGTGTAAATACATTTTGAAAGGGAAATGAGTCTGACCCTTTGCTTAACTGTATTATGTTTTAGAGGGATAAATACCTAAAACTGAATAGACGAATTGAGCTGTCGAATGAATTAAACCTAACAGAGACACAAATCAAAACTTGGTTTCAAAATCGTCGGTAAGTATGAATTACATTTAATTGATTTCATGATGAATAAAATTGAGCATTATGATGTTAAACCGATATTCATCACAGGCTGATATCAGTAGAAGAACTATTGGAAATCAAGGAGCACTGAACAGTATGGGACTTCTCAGCATTTTGCGGCCATGATGCCGCCAGGGATAGGGCCTGGGATCTTGAGGTTCAACGGGAAATACTTGAAGGTCATGGTTTCCTATAGCTCTCCAACTTATGTCAATCCGTGATGAATATCAACCTGAAATCAATAAATAAATCCCCAAATTGCATTATGACATCGCTGATCTTTCTAAAAAATATTTTTCTCAGCTTTACTGTGTACACTTCTGAGTGACTTTAAAGACCATCCTAGAAACTGCTAAAATAACCAATCAGGTTTCTGTATTTCGGCTTGAAAGGTATTTTTTAATAAATAAAATAAAGATCTGTAATTGGTTATCTCAGTAGTTACTGAGGTGGCCTTTATAATTAAACTTATTAAGTACCATTTATGAAGATAAAAAAAGTGTTATACTCCAACCAACTAACATCTACCTGTCTGAACTGACAGGCTGAGCCTCCTTGTTTTATGACCGCATTGCGAATACGATCCAGAGGATCCGATCTGCACTCTAAACTAGACAACATGAAATTGGTGACCCGTTACCAATCAACATGAAGTGTTATACTACTTAGTATTTTGATGGATACGTATACAGTCAAACCGTTAGACATGAGGCGTCATCCTCTACAATATAATTAACAAACTGATCATCGTGAAATAAGCCAATATTAAAGTTCTCTTACCACAACTTTCAACCGCAACTAAAAGAGTGTGCGTAAGCATCATTGGAAACTACCAAATTAGGATGAATCTTTTATCCGCTTCATGATAATATTTTGATGGACTTCCAGCTTCTGCAAGTCAATCAACCTGTGGTAAGCATCTACTTGAAAGTTAATCGAATTTTCATTGCAGACCCATTTTTGAGTAGATCGTTTGATTGTCTTCTTAAACAGGAACTATGATATGTAAAATCAACCGACCAAACTGTTTGGTCTGAAAACGGCAAGCCCTTGAACTCCAATCGAAGTGCTACATGTTTGCCTACTTGACTTATGTTCGAAAGTTGTAACTTTGACCTTTTGTTAAAGAGTGATACTTTGCAGAGAAAAGTTTCTGGTTGTTGAATTTCTAAGGGTTAGATAGGCTTATTTAACTTGACACAATGATACAGTGGTCAAGCTTTGCTCTTACATAAATCAAATTTACTATCTTTTTGGTCGACAGTGCGAATATGAGCAATAACTTGCGATCAAGAGGTTATGCAGTAAATTATTCTGTAGCACCGTGCGCTAATAAACAAATTTAGTGTGGAACTGAAGACACCAAGTATAACTGCAATTCCAGAATGAGCTGTTCAGCTGGTGTCTTAGTTCTAAGTGAGAATTCATGACCGATGCCAAGTTCATTTATAACTGCTCATACAAGAATAATGGCCATTACATATGAAAAGGTTTTTATCACTGACTAACATCAGTTGGATAACTACTGAGGACTTCTGAGTACCAGATAAGAGCGTGCACTCAAGGCAGGATCCTTCACAGGGTCGTAGGTCTGCACTGCTAGACATTAGATGAAACAATTGTCCAGTCATCCCATGTTTTAACTGACTTTCCATAGGATGTTAGGCTGTGATGGAAACTACTTTCAAATCAATTAATTCATAGTCCGATTCACACCTACTTTTACATGAACATAAATCTAAATACAACAGTGTTCAAGTTTCACCCTTAGATTAAGTGCAAATGAGCAACTGTAACATCTGACAACGTAAGTTGTTATGTATCAAAAAAGTAAGAAGTTGATGAACTCAACTACAAATGAACGCTATAGTTACTTCACACTTTGATCACCTAGATCTGACTAGCGTATTATTATTATTGGTCGGTACAAGTGATATACAACTGACTAGTCCTGTCAGCCTGAACAAGTAAGTGACATCTATTTGGATATATTCTTAAAGAAAGAGAAGCATTAGGAATACATATTCTCTTTTCAGTGTTTATGAGCCTGCTGGATGAAATATAGACTTCTAAAAATTATATACGTGAAATTAGCAATAAAAATACTATTTCCTTTTATATCAGCTGACTTTATCTGCTAATTTATAGTTTGAGGAAGATCGGTGACAGTAACTCAAGTTTTCAGATTACTTATTAAATGACTAGCATTTCGAATGTTTCTCAGCATCTGGAACAAGATCCCGATTTTCAACATCAACACCAATCAAGTCAGTGCTTCTGTATGGCTCAGAGACTTCGCGCATCACGAAAAGCATTTCCAACAAACAACAACGATTCATCAACAACTGCCACCTACGCTGGCTCGTTACTCAAGATCAGATGGCCAGAATGATAGGAATAAGAAACAAGGAACTCTGACTGGCTGGCTGGCTGACTGGCTGACTGGCTGACTGGCTGACTGGCTGACTGGCTGGCTGGCTGGCTGGCTGGCTGGCAAAGAACCAACCAGCCAACAACCTATCACTCAACAAATATGCATTGGAAGGAAGTGGAGATGGATTGGACATACACTGAGAAGACCATTCAGGGACATCACGCACTAGGACAGGCACTGGAGTGGAACTCAGATGGGAAGCGGCTAGTTGGGCGTCCGAGATGAGGGTAACATGGAGGAGATGGTGTGAGGAAGAAATGAGAGGTTGTGGGTTGTCGTGGAGCCAGGTTGAAGGGATAGTAGAGAACAGAGTGGACTGGATACGTGCAACAGAAGCCCTATGTTTGACTAGGAACCCAAGGGACAAATAATAATAATTTCAAATGTTTACAATGATTGTTAGCTGGAGGAGAAGCAACTTCATCTTGTCTAGTCAAAAGTGCTGATTGAATTCTACAGATCGGTTTACAATCTGGCCACCAGACCAGACCACTTGACATCACAATGCACTTTTGATAGGTATTAGTTGAATATAGGCAGTTGGCAGGAAACCCTGCATTGAGGTTTCGTGGATTCTGGTACTCTTCAGGAAGGGGCATCTGCAACCTCTATGGAACTGACGTCTCGCCTGAAATTCAAACCTAGGTCAATGAGTTAAGCAATCATAGACGTTACCAGTGAGCTATTTGAGACACAACTGATTTCCTTTCTTAATGCACTGCGATGAACAGTCTCCAAACCAAGTGGGCGTATTACGAAGTATTCAATAGAATTCGATCAACACGTAGGATTAGACAACTTGAAGTTAGTTACCCTCCAGTGACCGATCAGTGTACCTAATCCAGTCCAAAAGGAGGTCAGTCGTGACCCAAATAGCTCAGTGTTAATGTAGATGAATACGAAACTGGATGGTGTTGGCTCGATTCTTCGCTGGGACATTAGTTCTGTATGGGTGACAGGTCCATATTGCTCGAAACCAAGGTAGAGAATGGCTTAATTTAGATCACGTCCATCCAACTAACATTTCAAAAGTTTTTTGAGTCTCAACTCGAATATGTTGCGCTTTTTTAGCCAATATATGGCCTGTTACAAATGTTGCCTGGGTTACATAACTTCTTTTAGTGTGTGGGTCTGAGGTACCATTGCTTCCAGTGGCATATAAGGGTACGTAGACTAAAAAAAGAATTTCTAATTTGAAACCAATTTTTGACAGTATGGTTCCGTGATAGCTTATCTAAGAAGCGTAGGTTGTAGGTATACTTTTCTTTTTCTTCATTCACAGAATATCTTAAAATTTGGTTCTGTCAGTATACGTAACTTGGTCAGTATAGAATTACACCCTATTGTGGTGGGTACAGATTCACATAGGTTAAAAAGTACCCATATTTTTCTTAGCCTTATCATAATTTCCATAATAAGAATAATCTAAATATCTTTTCTCATTAATTTTCGAACTATTCATATCACTGATTTCTAATCAATTTCATTGTATTTACTAGAACTAAATGGAAAAAGAAGGTGTATTCATTGGATTCTACAAGTCGATCCTCTTTAAATTTAAATAAACATGAAAATAAATTATGGTCAATGAATAGTATATCCACTGACACTGAAGAACAACAACAGTCTACAATGGACAGCAGTTATACAACTTTTCTACCTACTCAAATGATGAATGTTAATTTTAATTATGACGATAAACCAATAGCAAGTTATAATAATCCTCAATTAAAAGTTAATCTATGGTCTATATGTCCCACATCAAATGTAACAAAATTATAACCGATAAAAAGATATATAATTCATCTACTAAGTGTAGTGTTTGAAAATACTTCTAATTTATGACCGATGGATGAATTTGAAGTAATTCGGTGATACTCTATTTTTATTGATTTCTTAGATTTATCACACAGTGTAACAGTATGGTTTACTGGATTACGTTTCGGACATAATTTATTGTCCACACAACTTTGAGATATCCTTTATATAGTCCTAATTTTCTCGTATCTTTGTGAGGTGGGCAGTAACATTTTCCATATATCTGGAACAGCTGCTGAGTCATTCCTGTTACATGTGTTAGGTGTTGATTCGATGAACAAAGATCCGGTTATCAACTTCTTCCTCCACCCTGTTATGTTAGTTTTAAGAATCTTCACCCTGTCTCATCCTATTGTGTGGTTGTGTGTAATTGCGTGCATAGCTATGACTGAGCTCTTTTCTGAATTCCTTACCTTACTAGGATCTACCAATTTTGACCTAGCTAAGTTTTTGTGTTCCGATAGCCTAATTGATCCTGGTCGACTACTTTGACCTATGTATTTGACCACGCAATCGTTGCAAGGGATTTGGTAAATTAAGTTATTCTGCTTAATTGGGTTAATAGGATCTTTTAATCTACAAAGCTTATTTTGAAGTGAGTTTGTAGGTTTAAATGCCACGCTAATCCTAGTCAGCCTTATTGAGAATTCTACGTAGTGTTTCTGAGGTGCCTTCTTTGTATGGTAATAATGTGGAGGTTTTGAATTCTCTATTCACAGTATTGCCACCACTATTATTAACATCATTACTACTATTAATGTTGTTGTTATTTCTACTAGTATTACTACTATCAATAACTAGGTTACTGATATTTTTCTTACAGTTCCTAAGGTGGTTATCGATTAATTTGGGAGGGTAATTGTTGATGATTAAGGCGTCTTTAATGTATCTGGTTTCTTGTTTTAGATCTGTTTTACTAGTAAGTTTTTTGGCCCTGTTACTCAGATATTTTACCAAACCAACTTTAACTGACATAGGGTGAGACGAGACGATGTGAAGTCAAAGTAACGGTTTGAATGTGAAGGTTTTCTGTAGACAATAGTGTCTAAACTCCCATGTTGTTTCCATTTTATTGTGCGATCCAACATCGTTAATTCTCCTTCACTATTTTCCAATTCATAGGTGAATTGGATTGCGTTGACTACTGAATTTATGTATGTGTTCCGATTTCAACATTGTAAACATGTCGTCTACATAGCGAAACCATATTTTTGGGGCCGGACTATATTTTCCTACAGCCATCCGTTCCCAACTATCCATAAATATGTCAGCCACAATAGGGGATATTGGTGATCCCATGGCAACTCCTTCTGTTTGTTCGTATATTTTATTCTGAAACCTAAATATTGTGTAAGTTAGGCATAGCTGTACTCCTAGTATGATATCATCTATTGGTACCTTAGTTCGCAGTGTAAATTCGTGGTCATTGTTGAGCTCGTTTCTAACTGCTTCCAGGGCCGTATTAATCGGTATAATATTGGTATACAGACTGACTACATCAAAACTAACCATTTTTTCATCGTAATCTAAATGTATGTCATCTAATTTGTGCTTCAAGTCATAAGAGTTAGTAAGTCTTGATTTAGAACGGTTCCTAATTGGGTTTAGTACCATCGCCACATATTTAGATAAGTCATAGGTAGGAGTGTTTCTAAAGTCTATGATAGGTCTGGATTTATGAATTTTAATAGTACCATAAATCTTACTGGGATTATTAGTTTTCGGCATTAAATTAAACTATTTAGACTCACTCAGAAACGGCTTCATTCGGCGTATTAGATCCACAGTGGTTCTTTTAGCTTTATCCATGATAGTGTCGACTGGATTCTTAATTTTTTGTAGGGACCTATTTCTATATGTTCCTTAAGTTTCTGAATATAATCAGACTATTTTAACACTACTGTTGAGTTGCCTTTGTCCAGTTTAGCATTACTATATCCTTGTCATTTCGGAGGTTCTTCAAGGTTTCTTTTTCTTCTTTTTGAAAATTGTGTTTTGTTTTCTTCTGTTGCTTAAGTGTAAGAGTACATTGCGCTCGAACCTTATCTGCTACCATCTTATCTACTGAACTTAGTGCTATTTCAATTTTGGGAATGACATCTTCAGGTTTCAATTCACTAATTGTTACATTGAAGTTAAGCCCCTTTTCTAATACCTTTACTTCTGCTGAGCTTAAAACCCTAGTTAAGAGGTTGATAACCCACTTTGTTTTACCGTTGGTTGGAGATGTGCTGTCGGGAATTTCATTCTGCTCTATTGGATACTTTTCTTCCATTAGCTTGTTGAACTTCTTTACTCGAGTATTCTTGGATTTTTTCAAGGCAGCTGATCTCGCCCTGTTGAAGGTGTCCGTCAAGAGTTCATAATCTTCATCACTAACTGTTTCTTTCAGTTTACATTTAAGTTCTTCAATATAGCTACAGATGCTGTGTAACTTCTTGACTATCCTATGAATTTCTTCTTTTAGACAGAGTTTGCTGATCTGTTGTAATGCTGCTTTTACACTCTCACTTGGAATTAGAGCACGTAGACGTAGATATTTAGGAGTAATTTGATATTTTAAGACATTGAACACTGAATATACGACGGTTTATGAATTTGGCTTCTGTCTGTGAAAGTCGCGTGTTTGTTGATTAGTCTCCGAGTTTGAAGACCATATGTTTCATTAATATAAGAGTAAAATATGTGCACTGTGATAGAATGTAATTCCATTTTTATTGATTTATTAGATTTATCACACTGTGTGATACTCCATTCCTATCTGATGTATAGCAACGCTTCAATTCACCTCATTTAAATACTAAAAACTAAAAGATTCATTTTAGCGATATTTTTTTAAACCGAAATTTCTTAAGGTAGACAATAAATTTAGTACAGTATAGTTTCAAATCACAATGTGAAACTCAGTGACGCCTTTGAATTGAGGCTAGGAAAGAGTAAGACAAGGTTGTCTAATATTACCCATGGTTTTCCACATTGTAGTGAACTGGATCATGCAACAAACAGTGAGGAGTGAGAAGAGGGGGATACGCTGGACCAGGGAAAACATCCTAGAAGATTTAAATTTCGCCTATGACTTGTGTCTAATGTCTCGTGGCACAAACTAGAAGATCTACAGGCGAAAACTAACAAGTTGGCAGAAGAGGCAGGGTAGGGCAGCGAAGACTGGACATCCTTCAGGTGAACGTAATGAAGACAGAGGTGATGAAGATATCCAACAAACAACAAAAACAGCAGCAACAACAACAACAAGCTGCAATCATCATCAACTGGAGAAACTTAAAGGAAGTAGTCTCTTTCATTTACCTGCCTAGGCAGCACTGTCTCAACTACAGCCAGCGCAGGCACAGACGAGGACATCAAAGCCAGCCATGATCGGAAAATCAGCAACACAGGTTTTCATTAACCTCAAACCAGTGTGGAGATCTAATGCACTCAGCATTCAACGTGAACAAAATCCGGATTTTCAACACCAACACCAATCAAGTCAGTGCTTCTGTATGGCTCAGAGACTTGGCGTGTCACGAAAGGCATTTCCAACAAACTACAACGATTCATCAACAACTGCCACCTACGATGACTCGTTACTCAAGATCAGATGGCCAGAATGATAAGAATAAGAAACAAGCAACTCTGGCTGGCTGGCTGGCTGACAATGAACCAGCCAACAACCTATCACTCGACAAATATGCGTAGGAAGGAAGTGGAGGTGGATTGGGCATATACTGAGAAGACCATCTGGGGACATCACGCACTAGGCCAGGCACTCGAGTGGAACCCAGACGGGAAGCGACGAGTTGGGCATCCGAGATGAGGGTAACATGGAGGAGATGGTGTGAGGAAGAAATGGGAGCTTGTGGGCAGTCGTGGAGCCAGGTTGAAAGGATAGCAGAGAACAGAGAGGACTGGATACGTGCAACAGAAGCCCTATGTTTGACTAGAAACCGAAGGGACAAATAATAATAATAATATAATAACAGTTTCAAATGCATCCTACTATCAAGTTTATTGTTCACGGTTCAGTGTTTGTGATACTGTTTAGTATATTTAAATAAAGTAACTTCCAATAAACGTAGTACAGAAAATTAAACTTTAGGGCCCAACTTTTTCTGAAAATGATGTTGAATTACACTACAACATAGTTATAAATTATAGGCGTAGTAGAATTTAAAGTGTCGATCTAACACACTAACTAGTAAGTTGATTTCTCTCCTGAAAGCTTTGAAACGAAATACAGACGTCGCAGAAGTAGTTAGAGGTTATATACGAGTGAACAGCAGAGCAAGTCTTGTGTGGTGACTGGTAACATTTATCGAACTATTAGCGTTGAATTTGAAAAGCTCTAGTTGAAAGGAAGATCTGTCAAAAATTTCACAAGTGAGTAGAAAACTTTGGCTTGTATTCACTCAAATTAATATCAGTAAACCTCTCTAATTTTCAAACACTTTATCAATCACCTTTTCATTTTTCTATCTTTATGTCTGCACAAAGGCAAAAGTATTATCTCTGTAATACGAAATCTATGACGATCAACTAATGAACAACCTTCAGGATTCGATTAGGGGGTTTTTCTGGCAGCAATTTTATCATACTCACTTAATTCAGTGTACTGTGTATTAAAGGCATACGGTAGACTAAAGAATAGTTTATGTGATTGCCTAATTTTCAGCTTACATTAATCTAGAGAGTGATTGGTTACAAATTGCGCTTCCTAGTCAAAACAACCAGTTGTTAGAAAGCCAGTTTCTGTGGACTGGAACTAAGGGATGATAATGCCGGATCGTTTTATATTCTCATCTTCTATGAGCATAGTAAGATAACTAACTAACTGACTGGTGTGACAGAAAGCATAATTTAAAGACTGTTGTGCATATGACTACCGGTAACTTCAGAAGCAAAGGATTCGTTGTTCTATTTGGTATAACGTATGTATTCATTACATTGTCAAAATCTCCATATGCCTA